TTTTTTACACTATTAAAACTCATAATATTATATATTAACTCTTTTTTTTTATTACATGTAGAGATTAAAAATTCAACCTTAAATTTATAATTAAGAGAATAAATAACTTTACTATTAAATTATATAAAAGAAAATTATACATTTATTTATTTATTTAATAATATATACAAATTATTAAAAAAATTTGTGTCTTATATTATTACCCAATTCACGGGCAAGAAGCCGCAACGTACCATTCAAATCTTGAAACCAATTCCTCTATTGTATTGTCTTGCATTTTTCCATTTTTTTACTCTTCACCCCTTATTTATTAATTAATAATTTTTAATTTTTAATTTAAAAATAATAAAATTAATTTTTATTTTAATTATAAATATCATGTGTTAATTTTTATTAATTTATTTTAAATTAAAAAATAATTATTTTTTAATTTAAAATTTTATATTTTTAAGAAAATATCACAATTATTATTTAATTATTATTTTTTATTTTATACTTTAAAAATACAAAATAAACAAATCTTTTATTAATTAATGGATGTAGCTGTTTCTGTTTTTTTAATGTAAATATGATCCATATGGATGGATGGTTAACAATAATCTAATGAGCGTTTGAGACGTACGTACTATGTCAAGTACATCTTGCCCCTCACGGATTGAATTGAGGATGCAGGCATGCATATATAGGGCCATAGGGGTGTTGATGCTGATTTTTGGCATCATCTCTTAGGTGAGTGGCGGCCAGCCATTGGTTTCTAGGATTTTACAGTAAGATAAGAGAGAATGCATGAACCAAACATATTTATTGCTTCCATTTCAGGGCAGATGATGACCTCTTTTCACTTTTCAGCACAGCAGAGGCTTTGTTTGCTGGCTTCCTGATCTTAAAGCCACTCGGCTCCGCTTTTATTTTTTTCTTAGGCATAATTATTCTTGATGACGAGCCAAGTCAGACCGAATTGAGGTCTGTTAGGCTACATTACCTTCGATGATGTCAGCCTATGTTGAAGGCGTGACATCACAGCATATATCCAACGTGGTAAATTATTGAAGGCAAAATCATAAGTTAAGCCCCTGAACTACCCCAGAATCGCTATTAAGCCCCTAGACTTTAATTGATGCATATAAGCCCTTAAACTCTAGGATCAAAGCAATTAAGCCCTTCTTCTTACGCCAACTTAACTATGCTTTGGGACTCCGTCGCCTCACTTAACTGCCGTTTGGGACACACCCGCTTGGCTGCTTGGATGGCGAAATATTGCCATGTCATACTTACATGACAAAGGGATTTGACATTTGAATGGGATTTTTGAGTTATTTGATCATTTAATTTTTAGATTCAAATAAAATCTAAATAAAATAAAGCCATATATTTAAGTACAAATATTATTTAAATAAAGTTTTAAATTTAAATTTAGTAAATATTGTAATATATATTAAAAAATT